GAAAAAAAGGGACAGGGTCAACAGAACATGGCGATTGACACTGCATTTAAATTTTTGAATATTGCAGATATCAGGGAAGTAATTAAGCAATGTCTGCAAATGCGAGGAAAGAAACTGTTGGAGTAGAAGTGGCGGTTACATTTAACTATATCAACAGTAAACGGATGGGACCATGTTCTCGGGGCAGCGGGGAAAAAAGCTCGTCAGAGCAGCAACCATGAAAATATTTGTAAAAGACAAAGGGAAGCCACATCTGTGAGAAAGTGTCGGAAGTCGAGATGCCAAGTCAGGGCAGATTATATTACAGATCCTTGTCGGGAATCTTGAGATGAACAGAAGGGGCAGCAGAACAGATAGAGTAACAGTATTCAATCCATGGATGAATGGTAGATTTTTAGATGTGTAAGATGGACTCTGACAAGAAATATCTTCTGTCACGACACAGTGAACCAATTTTGTTTATAAGACGAAGCTTTTTCACAAAAAGCAGGAAAAATTAAAAGCACGTCTGGAAGGGTCTGGAATTTTTCACCTTAAGGTTATTGTTAATCGGTTCGAAAGCTTTCAGCGCCATCTCATAAGGTGAGATGATATGTAAAAAATGATATAAACAGACAAGCCAAAACAAAGCAGAGTGTAAATTTAACGGTAGGTGTTCATTTTTTATACTCTATGGTCGCGATGACTGGCGATAGGACGAATTAGAGTAAACAATTATAACCAGCTTTATGTTTTGCAAACTAGCATATTATGACTGGGCTGTCTTTTTTTAAATCGTAGTCTTTTGTACTAAATATAAGTAAAAGCGGAGAAAGAAATAAATAAATAAAGAAAGCCCGACTAAACTTAAGATGAAAAACAAAATAAAAATAATGGTTGACAATACTTCAGCTGATATTTAACTCTTTCAAGTCCACATTCGTGTAAATGATGTATACAGCAAAAATATTATTGTTTGTTTCACTAGACATATCTAAATGACTTTGACACTTATAATAATAATATTATTGAATTTATTATTATAAATATAGCAATGGGACACTATGTCCTCTTTATGCCATATCAATGCGCTTTGGGGATGATTATGTCCCACAGGACGTATTGAAAATATCTGTGGGACACATATGTCCCAGAGAACTAGGAAGGATTAAATATAATCACTCTACGTCATGTCAATAGAAAACGTGAGACCAAGAAAGGGTAATGAGTTGTTCTCTTGGGGGTTAGCATCAGCCATTCTGATGGTAACCATAATTATCAGTTCCTTCTTGCCACAAAATTATAATGTGGTCTTAACTACGATCATCGTAGTTAAGCAGCGTTGGGCCTGGTCAGTGCCTAGATAGTGACCGTTTGGGAATACCAGGTGCTATATGTTTGGATGTGCGGGAGGTGTAATTGATAATGTGATAGCGCGGAATTGGAAAATGGGGAATAGATTTCAAATTCCAATCGGTTTCTTTATATTCACTTACGTGCAAATACCCTTGGGAAAGATGTGATTCAATATCAATCAGATATGGTTTAATTAGTATCGGTAAATCATTACTATCCGCAAAAATGTCTTGTAATCTAAAAATATTTTCTGGCTTTAAATAACCAACAAAATGTTGATAAGCAGTAAAAAAAAATACATACAAATCAATTTCATATGCAAACTCATTTCACAAGCGAAATTTCTAACCTCTCGATTAACCGAGTGGCTAGAGAGTTCGCTTTCTGACCATGTGACAAGAGTTCGAATCTCACTATGGTCGATCTGTCAGGAAGATATCTTCTTGATGTTATCAGCCAGTGGATGGGGGGTGATCCCAACGTGCGTCACCTTTGGAAAATGCCAGAAAACGAAGTATGCGCCACTTCTGGAAAATGATAATACGGGCTCACAAGTCATCGTGGTCGAGGGTTTGAGCACACTGACTTCTTCAGATTGTTAATCACGCAAGACAATGCATTCTCTCTCATAAATTGTAACTTATTAAATATGCTCAATAACATATTTTTTTAAATTTTTGCTGGAGACATTCAGAATATTTTTTGAAATTTTATTTCGCTCCAAGCAAGGCGGGAATACCACAAGCATGCAGACATTTTCTGGGAGTGAAAGTGAAAGAAAAGGCTGAGTATAGGGAGGACTGAGGAAAGGATAAGAGATGAACGGGTTTCAACAAGATAGAAGATGGCGACTGACGCTACACTTATTTTTTTTAAGATTGTTGTTATCAGGGAAGCAAGTAAACGGAAGGGAGTTCGACAGGTGGGAAGCGCAAGAAAAAATACTGTTGGGGTAGAAGTGGTGTTACATTTAGCTGTTTCGACAGTAAAATGACGGGACCGAGATGCCAATCGAGTAGTACGCTTAAATTCATTTAGTCGAAGCACCAGGGAAAAACAGTTCGTCAGAGCAATTGCCATGAATATATTCATAGAAAAGACAGAGAAAAGCCACATCACATCGGTGAGAAAGTGACTGAAGACGACATACCAAGTCAGAATCGATTACATTACAGATCCTTCATTGGATTTTGTCGAGAACCTCAAGACGAATAGCAGGAGCAGCAGACCAATTATACAGTTAATTTGAATATTATGTGAAAATTGGTTATAAATAGCCATTTTTTCTACAGAAAAATACTCAGTTATTTACTGAAAAATGTAGAGGTATTGAGTAACAAATACAGTTGAACTTTTGACACAGCATCGAAGAAAATCGGCAAGAAAAAAAAATAACCAGACCTTAAAACAGGTGCAGGCCTGTGTTAAATAAGGGCGACTATCTTTTACGCTTTCCCTATTATTCGATCGAAGTTATCAACTATTTAACACAGCTAAACAAATGAGGACATTGATTAATCAAGAAAAGCTTAATCTTGCAAAAGTGATTAAAATTTTATCAAAATAAAAATGATTACATATTTAAAACGGCAGCAATTTCTATTGCATTATTTCCCCGGCAGTCATGATAATATTGCACAATATTCGATTATGCAAGACAAAGAATTATAAAAATTACATCGATTCAAAAGACATTCAATTTCCGGAAACGTGTCTGCTTCTGTGATTTGATCTGTACACATTAATAAGAATTTAAATCGATGTAATAATTTTAAAAATAAGATTTTGATTTATTTATTGTTAATGACAACACACTTAGATTAGCTTATAGGTATTAATGTGGAGCCCATTGAATAATCATTTTGAATTGTATTAAAATTTTGTTGAAATTTTTATCTGCCATTTTCTTCAAATCCTTCTGTTGCTAGCGTTTATTTCTCTTTAACAGAATTCATTTGCTTTCTATTTTAATGCAATTTAATAAAAATTCCAAACTCAAAAACTTTTAAAAATCAGTAAAAATTGCTAGCACAAAGGAAAACCCAGTTTTGACGATTTGATGTCTATGGCCGCGAATTTAGAAGTAGATTAATCAATTTATCTAATAGATGTTTATCTCTTTATAAAGTTCGAAAAAATACTGGAGAATCCAAACGGATACATTTTTTTTTTAATCCGTAAAACTTAATTCCAATCTCTTAATAAATTTTGAACAGGAGTAAATCGCGATAACGAAATAATGAGAGAAGCAAAACATTCCAGTACACACATGCACGCACGCACACATAGACAGACACATGCGCGCGCACACACGCACACGCATATATATATATATATATATATATATATATATATATATATATATATATATATATATATATTGCTTTTTGCTTTTCTAGTCAGAAAATAGATTTAAAAGCTTTAAAGTGATCCGCAGATGAGTCAGGGTAGGATTTTCGCTGCTCTATTAATTTGGGCATTCGAATCCAAGTCTTGCGAATGTTCAGAATTTCGGGTTGCATTTCATTGATCGGGTGATTCGTATTTTACGGGTTATCAACCCTTTGCAGTTTATTTAATACCACAAAATATATTTAGGTTGTAAGAATCTTTTGGAGATTCATAATCCTCAGAATGATAATAATGAGTTATTGATACAAGTCTTATTATTTAACCCATATTTCTGGGGGGAGATTCATATAATTTACCCGGGGTATTTGTGCGTAAGTGAATATAACGAACCTGACTGGAATTGGAACTCGGCTTTGCGATTAACATTTCCGAGCACTTTTCCATTACACCACCCACACCTTAAGCGTAAAGGAGCTGATATTCCCGAGCGGTCACCTATGTAGGTAATAACCAGGCTCGGAGTTTCTTAACTTTGGTGATCGTACAGGAACCATTGTTTCAACGTAATATGACCGTAACACATTTCGTTTAAGAAGGAAACTTTACAGAATCTTTTAGTCAGAGAAGCTCAGGAGGTATATATACACAAATTCTCAAAAATACACTCATTAATTAAATATATCAAAATGGTATAGCCATAACAGAACCAACATTTTTAATACTGTTTTTAGAGTTTCAAATTGATACACGAAGTCACTAGTTAATATAAAAGCATATGGAAAAACCCTATAGATTTTTTTAATATATCTCTGTATACCAGTGCGTGATGGTTGAAGATGACGATGCTTCCAATATTTCTAAAGTTCCGAGTAACTGTGCATGTAAGAAATCCGTCCCTTTGAAAGGTGAATGTTTGACGAAGAATATAGTATACCAAACATCTGCGATATCAGTTGACATGTATCATATGGAGTAGATTGGCGTTACAGAAGAACCTGGTAAGTAGAGATTTATTGACCCTAGAGTCATAGATAGACAGATAGATAGATAGATAGATAGATAGATAGATAGATAGATAGATAGATATGGATGAAATTAGATAAGTATCAATAGATAGATAGATAGATAGATAGATAGATAGATAGATATGAAATAAATGAGATATATATGAATCAAATTTTATAAGTATCAGTATATATATATATATATATATATATATATATATATATAGAGAGAGAGAGAGAGAGAGAGAGAGAGAATGTAGATAGATAGAGAGATATATACATACATACATGCATGCATTATGAACAAACTGAGATAGATAGATAGATAGATAGATAGATAGATAGATAGATAGATAGATAGATAGATATGAATAGAATTGGAGATAGGTGGATAGATACATAGATCAATATATATATATACATAGATTATGAACAGACTGCGATAGATAGATAGATAGATAGATAGATAGATAGATAGATAGATGTGAACAGATTGGGTTAGAAAGATAGATAGATAGATAGATAGATAGATAGATAGATAGATATGAATTAAATGAGATAGATATGAATCAATTTTTATAAGTATCAGTAGATATATATATATATATATATATATATATATATATATAGAGAGAGAGAGAGAGAGAGAGAGAGAGGAGAGAGAGAGAGGGAGAGAGAGAGAATGTAGATAGATAGAGAGGTACATACATACATGCATACATACATACATGCATGCATTATGAACAGACTGAGATAGATAGATAGATAGATAGATAGATAGATAGATAGATAGATAGATAGATAGATATGAATAGAATTGGAGATAGGTAGATAGATACATAGATAAATATATATATATACATAGATTATGAACAGACTGCGATAGATAGATAGATAGATAGATAGATAGATAGATAGATAGATAGATAGATGATGAACAGATTGGGTTAGATAGATAGATAGATAGATAGATAGATAGATAGATAGATAGATAGATAGATAGATAGATATGAAGAACTGTTCTGCCAAAAAGAAAAAGAAAACATCAAAAGAAGTGTAATAGCCGGGTTGACATAAGCGTTTCAATAGATTGACTAAAAAATGAAGTTAGTCCGTCTCGGTATGTTTCTCTAATCGCTCGGTTTTGCCTTAATTGAGTCTGCCAATTGTAGAAAAGAGAGAGACTTCGTCGAAGCACTTTCAAACTGCACGATTCCTCCATGGAATTTCGCTTTTCAATATTAGGCCCGAATGCGTGCCTCACATGACAAGAAAATAGCCGGCTATATGTCCGGTAGACCAAGAAAAAAAAGAAAGAAAATAGTGCATTCTATTTCACTACATGACCCTATGCATTTTATACGACACCCTTTTAAAATCTACACTCGCACAAAAAAGTATACATAGACAAGCAAACTCATAGAGCCATAGAGCCACACACACACACACACACACACACACACATATATATATATATATATATATATATATATATATATAATTTCCATTATCTATTCAGGGAGTTTCTTTCTCACTACCTGCCTTCTTTTATATTTGGATATTCTATTTCTAATATCTTTTGTTAAAGTTCGTCATCTTTTTTTTTCTCTCCTTTTCATTTCCATCGTTTTTCCTTCGACGGTTTCATGCTTGAATTTTGCTTTCATATTTTCCTTTGTTTCATCTAATGTGGTCCTTGCATTCTTTCATCTATTTTCATCAACTATCCCCCACACATCCCCACACACACACACACACACACACACACACACACACACACACATATATATATATATATATATATATATATATATATATATATATATATATGTTTTTTTTCTTTCTTCCACTTTCTAATTACTTTATTTCTTATTTTCTTTTCCTGTCTTACTTTCTTTCATTCTTTATTCTACTTTACATCCACGTTTTTCTTTATTTTTCTTTCTTTTTCCTTTTCCCTTCAATCGTTCTTCCTGTTTTCTTTCTTTCTTATTTTCGTCCGTTTTCAAACATCTCTTTATTTCTTTCTCTCCTTTTTGCTTTCTTTTCTTTCTTTCTTTCTTTCTGCCTTCCTTTCTTCCTTTCTTCCTTTCTTTCTTTCTTTCTTTCTTTTTTCTTTCTTCTACTTTCCATCAACATACTTTCTTTCTCTCTAATTCCTTTCTTTGTTTATTGGGAAATTCCACTTTCTTTCTTCCATTCCACCATTTTTCATTCATTTATTTCTGTTTTTTTTTTTCTTTTTTTCTTTCTTTTACGCTTTCATTTTCTTTTTTCGATATTTTTCTTTTGTCATTCTTTATTTATTTGACGAGTACACTTTTCTTCCACCATTCCTTTCTTCATTCCTTCCTTCTTACTTTATTTCTTTGACTTCCAATTATTTTTTAATCTTTTACTTTCATTCATTCTTTCTACCTCCCTTCCCTCGTTCTTAATTTGACTTCCGATTATTTTTCTTTCTTTTGCCAATTTTAATTTCTTGTACGCTTCTACTTCCTTTCGTTCTTTCTTATAATTTATTTTATTTTATTACACATACAATACCGCCAAAGATTCGGTAAAAAATCAGAATACATGACGAAAACATTCACAAAATTTATAAAAAAAAAAAAAAGAAAAGTTTTATCGTCAAAATCTTTAAAAAGGAAGACCAAATTATTTTCTAATTATTAAATGATATTTTTTATCCTTTTTAGAATCTTCAAAATTTTTGCTATTTTCTTCTTGCCTCAGTGGACGACCATACATTAATATAGGAAATTCGGCCACCTTTTTGCCACGAAAAACACATTGATTTCGAAAATCTTGCAAAAATTAGATAATAGTCGGATTCTAATTAAACTATCAAGGATTATTCGCAAATAAATAAAATTATTTTCGAAATGTTTTTTTTTTTTTTTTTTAGAAAACCTTGGGAAAATATGATTTGTTGTATACCACTTACTGGATTTTATGAAATTTCGAGAAATTCATTTTTGTAGGGAATAATTTTTATTTTAGTTATAAGGATAAGTCCTTGGAGAATTTAAATCATTTAATTTTTCATTGTCAAATAAGACCCCCAATGGCAACTTGTCTACGGCAGAAAGAAATGACAAATGGTAATTATTATTAGATTTTTTTTCTTAGATATTTGCTAAGTCGAAACATGAAATGTCCGAATTCATGAAAGTTCAATAAAGAACAATAATAATTGAAAGAATATATCTAAATATCCCGGTATAGTCGGTATATTGAATAGACGTTCTGGATTTATCACCGTGTTGCATTTAACCTCCAGGGAAATAATTAAGAAAGGCAGTATGTGCCGTATACATCAGAATGCAGTATGGAGAATAGCATGTACAAGTGTTGTGAGTATTTGTTTGTCTGTCTGTCTGTCTGTCTGTGTGTCTGTCTGTCATATAGGGGGTCATGACTTAAGAGGTCCGTGACTCAAAAAATATTATGAACCACTGATTTAGGCACTTATCTATCTGTTGTTTAAATTATTTTAAAACACTGGCTCTGGAGAGAAACAGGCCGAATCCGTGAAAGTGCAACACACAACAGAGTACAACAATAATAAATGGAAGAATATATTTATGTTATAGAGTAGTTTTCACAGTGGAGGCTTGTATTTCGCTAAGTCGGTCCTAAAAGGGGTCCGACGTACAAAACGTTAGGAACTTGAAATAAGAGTTAATGACGCAGCAACCTAGTTGTGGTGGTTGATACTTCAATGTCCGACATCGACTGACTCACTCAACTCCACTGAGCCCAACTGGCGACCGCTACTACTACTACTTATTAATAATAGAATAGGTACGTTCAGGTATAACAATTTAAAACTGGCAATGAAATTATTCTAAACATATTCAAATTTTAAAGATCGTCAATTTAAAATGAGCCACCATTTTAAAGGAATATCTCAACTAGGATACTCAAAAATATCTATTTGACGGATTTAGTATGTGTTTTTTTTTACAATGATGTTCACTCTGTACAAAGCACAAGAGCCTTTCGATGTAGAGCATTAAAGAGTAAGAGGCAGAGTGAGTTTATGAGGATATGGTAAGAAAACGGTTAACTCTAGACTTGAAGCGGTTAAGATTGAAATGATCGGGAAAAATCCTCTTGGGAGTCTGTTCCACAGAGCAGTGGTTCGCAGTTACAGGCTAACAGTGTAATAGGCACAGTTGCTGCGGATATATGAGGAAGATAACTCTTAACCATAGATGTATCATCCCCTTGATTATATGTTCCACAATGCAGTTTTTCGCAGATATAGAGGCTTGCAGAGAAATAGGCACAATTTATGCAGAGATTTTGAGGAAAATATAAAAGATTGTAGTGATCGGTGGAGCGTCATCTTGGCAGTTGGTTACACAGAGTAGTGGTTCGTAGGTAAAGTCTTACAAAATCCAAGACAGAGTTTATTGGTATATGTATAAGAGATAACAATTAACCCTGGCCTTGAACAGGTTAAGATTGTAATGATCAGGTAAACAACTTCTGTTCGTGGGGAAAAAAGCTCTTCTGTAGAATTCTTAAAGATTATTTCCTTTGTACTAATGTTAATCTGTGTGATGATTTTCACCCTCAAGCAAATAACATATTTTTCTATAATTACGAGTTTATATAGGGTGTGGCAGAAATATCTCTATTATGGTAATTTACCCATGCACGCATGGACTTTCCCAGAGAGGAAACTTTCCAGCAGTCAACCTTGACAGTCGGACCGAACATTTTTTTAAGCGTTTCATCCCAAGCAAGGCGGGAAGCCGCTAGGACGCAAGGGGTTACAGAAGATTTGGAGCAAGATCAGATAGGAGTGATAGAGGAAAGGATGAGGAGAAGGATAGTGGATAGATCAAGGCAACTGGAGATGTCGATTGACATTACATTTGAATAGATGGAGATTATAGCTCTCAGGAAAACAGGAATAAGGAAGGGAGTTTCACAGGCGAGAGGTGCGAGATATGAAGCTATTGGAGTAGAAGAGACGGCTACATTTAATAGTTTCAACAGTGAAAGGGTGAGAGCGGGTTGCCAGCCTCGTAGGTCGCTTAAATTCATGAAGTCTGGGAACCAGCGAATGCAGCTCCTCGGAACAATTACCATGAAAGTATTTGTAAAAAAGACAGAGATTAGCGACGGCGCGTCTGTGAGAGAGCGACTGTAGACGAGATGCCAGATCAGGGTCAATTATATTGCATATCCGCCTCTGGATCTTATCATGAACCCCGAGGCAAGCAGAAGTGGCTCCAGACCATATATGGCAGCAATACTCCATGCAAGGGCGAATTGTTGATTTGTAGATCTGAAGGATCGATTCCGGGGAGAAAAATTCTTGCTGTAACACTCTCGTTTGTATATGTTTGTATTACTGGTTTCTGTTAATATATTTGTTTAACTCAATTCCTCTCTTTGTGTCTTTATTTCTGGCCCTAACAAGACCACACCAATCTCCCACATATACCTACCAGAAATACCCCTCTCATAATAATAAGGCAGTAAGAGGTATTTCTGGGAGGTATGTGGGAGGTATTACCGCTGCAGACTGCATAATTTAACGAATGAACCTGGTGAGATGGAAATTACTGTCCGGTATATCAAAGAGTTGCGTAGTCGCTGTTACAGTTTTTTGTGTATATATTGTATAACTAGTGAGTTAGTCGAAATGACTTAATTCCCTTTATAGTCTACCAATAGAAGTTTGACCAATCCGAAGTCGCAGAACATTGTATCCGTCGTGTATAAAGGCGGCCATCTTTGTTTAACCTACCGGAATGACCAGAGCCAACTTGTCAGGCAAACATGCCAGAAGGAAGAACTACGCTCTGCTACGATATCCACTGCGAACCTGAACTATGCTTTCCTACTGTCCCCTAAATATTCACTGCCAACCTCTGGATTCTATACTCGAAGACGACCGTCATGAAAATGTCTAACAGTCGCCTACTACTAACCTAAGACTATTCTGAGTCGAGCTTAGTTGCAGTTCTAGGGTACATATTATGCCGTGATCCATTGATTTTTAATTTTTAAAAAGCCCAATGCATTCAAATCCTCCATCACGATAACATGTCACTTCGTACTAGCACAGCTATTGACTTCTTCTTGTCCTCGGTATAACGATAAACTACATCCGGCAGCAAGTCCTCTGATCAAAAGGTTTTGAGGAGCGTGGAACCACCTCTTAATTACAGTTGTTCCCAGGTTCACCCTGACCCGGGGTTGCAGCAACTGTTAGGGACCCAGCTAGTGACCCTCCCCCACAAAAAAAAACAAACTGGGGTCAAAACACAATGACAGTTGAAAAATAGATTTTAATAGTAAAATAC